GTGGACGTCTGAAATAATGCGTTATAATCAATGTTTCGCTCTCCAACTATCTGAATAATACGTACGTGTACTTATAAGACCGTTACTATCTGACATGTTAGCGTTTCTCCAGTGGTCGTCAAAGATAAATATCGACGTCGATAACTAACTTTAACATTTAGATCCTTACTTTCACTGTCAGTATACTCATATAAATCTGAAACCAGCTGTCATGTTTAAAACGAGCTTCATGTTGTCATCAGATTTCAGTCGTGTTATGATGCTACAAGGGCGTTGTGAGTGTAGTTTCTGTGTATATGAGTATGATTTCCTGTGTTTTTAATAACCAACTTTGATGATAATTTTTTTTTTTTAAGTTTATTGAGCGGCAAATAAGCATATCAGAATGATTTCTGAAGGATCATGTGACACTGAAGCCTGGAGTAATGATGCTGAAAATCAGCTTTGACATCACGGGAATAAATTACATTTTAAAAAGCATTCAAATAGAAACAAGTTATTTTAAATTATAATATTTCACAATAATGTATTATTAATAATGTTATTGTTTTTTAGTATCATTAATGAACATAAAAGACTTATTTCAAAAGCATTTGTAGTGTGTCGATAAATGTTTTGCTGTTTTCATATTAAAAAACAGCAAAATAAGAGACTTATTTCAAAAGTATTGAAAAACCTTTTGAACTGTAGTGTATGTTGTAGATAAATATGTTTTGCTGTTTTTTTAAATAAAAAAATTTAACACTTTCCATGTTATTTTGACATGGAAAATCATACTTATCAGTTATTGGCTGAGTGTTAAAATTGAATATTTCATAGATGATCTTGTAGGTGAGTGACTTCAACTTGTATGTCTGTATCGCAGGGAAAAAACGCTTTCAGGGTTTTAAAGCTGAGTTTTTAAAGATGGAGCTCACTGTTTTTGAGGACAGAAGTATTGGTTTTGAATTACCCATACTCTGGTTTTCTATCCAGACGCACAGCTTGCAGGACCTGCGGCAAGCAGCCGTCGCCTCCAAGGTTTTCGTTCAGAGAGACTACAGCTCTGGAACTATCTGCAAGTTCCAGACCAAGTTCCCGGCAGAGCTGGAGAGCAGGGTGTGTGGAGATCCATAGCAAACACAAAGCAACCATTTACCACTGATCTGTATTTACAGATGTCAAATATATCTAAAGCTTTGGCAAATGGATTCTGTCTGAATACAGATAATTGTTTTGTTGGTACAGATTGACAAGCAGCAGTTTGAGGAGACCGTACAGACCCTGAATAATCTCTATGCAGAAGCGGAAAAGTTGGGCGGCAGGTCATATCTGGAGGGCTGTCTGGCCTGTCTCACTGCGTACACAATCTTCCTCTGCATGGAGACCCACTATGAGAAAGTGAGTTGACTAGATATCATCAACATCACATTGTCCATGTGGATTTCACTGTTGTGTTGAATTCATTCAGGTGCTGAAAAAGATTGCCAAGTACATCCAGGAGCAGAATGAGAAGATCTACGCTCCTCTTGGGCTTCTCCTGACTGACCCCATAGAGAGGGGCCTCAGGGTTGTATCCTTCCTACATCATGCGGGTCTTTCTGTCCCCTGGTGAAACAAGAGTTTTCTGACCTGTCAGAATTGCTACTTTTAACATTCTTAGAAACATACACTACCGTGCAAAAGTGTTGGGTCAGTAAGATTTGTTTTTAAAGAAATTATTACCTTCTATTTCAAATAAGTGCTCCAATTTCCATTTTTACCTCCTTTCTCCCCGCCAATACATTCATCCTCTATGTCCAGCTCACTTCCTGATCCTACGTCACTTCCTTCCATCTCTGCTCCAGTCACATCCTAGTGTCGCCAACCGCCCTCGTCGTCTACTTCACTTTGTCAGGCAGTTCCTATTTAAGAGATTTCTTGATTGCGAACAGGTGTGGCAGTAATCAGGCCTGGGTGTGGCTAGAGAAATTGAACTCAGGTGTGATAAACCGCAGTTTTAAGAGGGGGGCAAACACTTCTTCACACAGGGTCATGTAGTTTTGGATTTTGTTTTCCCTTAATAATAAAAACCTTCATTTAAAAACTGCATGTTGTGTTCACTTGTTATCTTTTACTAATATTTAAATTTGTTTGATGATCTGAAACATTAAAGTGTGACAAACATGCAAAAAAATAAGAAATCAGGAAGGGGGCCAACACTTTTTCACACCACTGTGTGTATGTATATATATATATCTCATGTGGAAACCTCATGTTAAGCAGCTCAATTGTTAATAAGAAATGTTTCTTGAGAATGATTTCTGATGGATCATGTGACACTGAAGTAATGATGCTGCTTTTAATGATGCTTATTTCATTGTAATAAAATTTCATTTTTTTTTTATTACTTAATACTTTATTTTTCATTATTACTGTTTTTACTGTATTTTTGAACATAAATAATTCAGCCTTGGTGAGCATTAGAGACTTTTTAAAAACATTTAAAAAATCTTATCCCAAACTTTTGAAATGTTAAAAAAAAAAAACTTTCATAGTCTTACGGCAGTTCATTTCCTTAACTTGAGTTTTCAAAGGTGGAGATCATTATTTTTGAGGATAGAAGTATTGGTTCAAGATAAAACACACCAAAGGTAAGTCCTTTTTGATCTAAATATGATGATATCCAATGTATTTAGTGCGTTGGATAATCATCTTGAAATAATGAAGTGCAATGTTTTATTTTTTCCTGCAGGATCATGTTTGGATCGTGATTATTGGCCTGCTGGATTCAGAACCTGCTTCTCCATCTCATGATATCACAACCCTATTGCTTTAAATGTAGATAGTATACCTTTATTTCCAGACCACTGATCCATTCATTTGTTTTTTGTTTGTTTTTTTACAGAGGGAGAGAGTGGTTATATTATGTATCTTAGTGAAACTCTCCAAACCAGCTTTCCCTCAGTTAACAGCTTTCCAATGTCTGTCTTAATCTGAGTTGTTTTAAATCTATGTTGTGCCATGTAATTTTATATTGCAGCTCCAGTGCGTTTCCTTCTCTTGTTTTCTGTATGTACTTGTCTTGAATGGGAAGTATGGATTAAGTGCACAATGATCAGTCACAATACGGTTGAATCTTGATTATTCAGATCTTTTGTGACTGTGTTCTTATAGTAAAAAATTGTTTTTGAGAAATCTGCTCCAATTAGTGCTTGTTAAAACGGTCATAACATTCATGAAGAAGCTTCAGTTTTCTGTATGTGGAAATTTTAGACTGAGAATTACAGTTTGTTATATTTAATGATTTTATGTAATAATCAGTTTAGTTACTTTAAGTCACTGTTCTATTCCACTCCCCTCTACAAAAACAGTTTGTGTTTTCTTCCATGCTGTTTTAACACTACATTTTACTATATTTACCAATCAACTACTGTACTTTTATTGGGGTCTGCAATATAATCCTTATTACACACAAATGCCATAAATCCTTAAAAGGCATGGCTTGCATTTAATATTGCATCTCCAGCTTGTATTTCAGACTGCTGTCAGTTTGACTTGTCTTTTGCGTAAATCTTTTTATCAGTGTTGTATCATAATGTCTTTGAAAATCTTTTGACACTTATTTAAACTATCGTACAATAAAGTGTTTTCTTGAACAAATTAATTACATTGTCTGCAATGTT